CCCCTGCTACTTAAATGACCAGATCAATACCACAGGAGTTTAATTGACTTGATGCTATACTCTGATAAAAAAAAAGTGTTCCTTTAATTTTGAGTAGTGTATATAAAATAGGGTTAGGGAACAAACTACATAATCCATAATAGACAGAAGAGACGTATATACTATTACAGACTGAATGTAGTACATATTAGACTCAGAGATCAAAATCTTTATGTAAAGTTAAAAAAAATGTAAAAAGATCTAAAACAATGTTTTGCAGATTTTCCGAGAGAATTGCAATATAATATTATGCATGACGGAGTCCCTTGACATAGGCAAGTAGTTTGATACAAGTTATGTGTGCCTGCTGTCACTTATGATGATCATACACTAATTACATTTTTGTTTCAAAATTCTTGTTTTAAGAATGTTCTTTTGATTTCCTAATCATTACTAATCATTGACGTTTGTTTTCTACCACAGTGACAGGAAAATGTGACGGAGCAGAACAGAAAACTCGACTGAACCAATTTTTGGAATATAAATCTTTTATATTAAAGTATTACTAAAGGCTGAAACTTTTTTGGTGTGGATAGAATCATTTTAAATATAGTGCACAATACTGGTAAACTTTCACTTTAAATTTAATTGTATGCCTTATACTACTCCCTGTCTATCAGCCTCCAGCTTCTCTGGGTTCAGATGCTTATCTTCTCTGCACAGAGCCCTTAAAATGATTGTAAACCTTATATTTTGTTCTTAAACAGCAAACTTGTCATACTTACCTGCTGTGTAATAATTTGCACACAGCAGCCCCAAGTCTCTTCTTCTGGGGTCCCCCACTGGGCTTCTGGCTCCTCCTGCCTTCAGAGTGCCCCCATAGCAAGCTGAAATGTATAGTATAGAGCGCCCCTAGAGCAAGGTAAAAAAACCGCTGCCTTTACCTTTTCCTTCTCCTGCCCAGGACTACATGTCCCATGAGGCATTGCTCCTCACACTTTCACTAGTTCACAGGCACTGACATGTATATTTCTGACATGTAAACAAATAATGCATTCTGTATGCAGGCCAACTAATCGGCTGACCAACTAATCGATTATGAAAATAACTGACAACAATGTTCATAATCAATTATGCCGATTCGTTGTTTCAGCTCTACCCTTTATTACACTCCCTACACAAAACAGTTAATAAAATTTTGAAATTCTTTACCATTTAGGAGAAAAGCCTAATTGAATTTTCATTACCTCATTTCTGTAATTTAAAAGTTAACAGCATCTGCTCTGCCAAGGAGGAAATGTAACAGCAGGGAATACATCATATTCTCTCTTCTCTCTCGCAACAAAAGGAAACTACAGTTCCCATCAACCACAGGGAATTGTAGTGAATGTTGCCAGATACACTAAGACTGTACATGCTGAATGTGCCTAAGAGTCTCAGTCCGCCCACCACTGCTTCCTGGAGAAAGAACTACAGAAAGGATATGCCAAGACCAGTGGCTGGGGGAATAGGAGGCATAGCAGTCACCAGTCTTACAAACAGGAAAGAGAATTAACAGTTTGATTTGAAAATGAATAGGCTATTTTAGAGCAACTAACAAGTGAGCCAGAAGATGGATGACATATTCAGTAAAGGTAAGAAATTAGCAAAAAGGACATGTAAAGAAGTGTTTGCCCAGAGTTCTGCTTTACTACAGCCTTTTCTGCTTCCCCTAGACCTAAAAAACATTTAATTCATTTGGGGTTTGTCCTTGCTGGATTAAAAATTATTTTTAAAGCACAACTCCATGTATTAAGCAAAATAAAAAAAAATGTATAAATATTAGACAAAATGTTGCAGTGCCCTAAGATATAAGCTGTAGCTATCAAGCACATACAGAAAGTCTTGCATCCAAAAGTGATGGCAAGGTCTGCAACTGACTAAAGGTGTGGATACACATTGCTGGAAATTAAATGATACGGCTTAGGTCGAAACCTGAAGATGTAAATAGTCTTCCTGCAGGAAGGTAAAAAGCATTCTGTGTGCAGCAGTACCCCCAATACTTATCTGAGCCCCATCTCGATCCAGTGCTGTGCACGAGAGCAGTGGCTCTCTGGGCATTCTCTCTCAGTGGCCAATGGCTTCCGCTGCTGTCAATCACAGCGCTCTATTTTTTTTTTACTTGACGCGCAGAGCAGGGCTCAGAAGCAAGCACTTATGAGTGCCCCCATAGGAAGCAGCTAGCTATGGGGGCACTTGACAGGGGGAGGAGCTGGGGGAGGGAGAGCCCAAGAAGAGGAGGATTGGGGCTGCTCTTTGCAAAACCTTTGCAGATAAGTATAACAGGTTTGTTATACTTACCCAATTTAAAAAAAAAAAAAAAAAAACCATGTTGCCTTTACAATCACTTTAATGAATCTGTAGTCATTGAATCCATCAAACATAGCTCAGGCAATATTGTAGCCTCAAGCTACAGATCAGCAACAAGTGAAGACATAGACCCTTTTGCTCCATTGAGGGCCAGGTGAAAACGGACTCCACTGTCCATTTACATCTGACTATTTTTTAAATGTAATTACTGGCTTTTTTTCCCCTTCACTAAAGCTCCAAGAAGGAGCTGTCATTCTCCCCCGCCACTAAAGGAAAAAAAAGTCACTGGGTGGCCCCACCCCTTTGTTTCCTTTAGCAGCAGGGAGAATGACAGCTCCTTGGGGCTATAGTGCATGAAAAAAAAAAGAAGCATTTAATTACATTCAAAAACCAGCACTGACATATAGCGGCAGCCAGTGAGGGAACCTGAGTGTGTACACTGCTCCCTCCTGCCCACACTGCCCCCCCCCCACACACCCACCCCCCCACAAAGAGGACCTGTCACTTCTATACTATCATATAGGGGACTATTAGTCCCCTATGTGATAGCAATAAAATCATAAGTTAAAAAAAATTAAAAACACACATTAAAAGTAAAAAAGAAAAAAGGGCCTCCTCACCCCCACATATGTAGCTATTTTGGTTTCAGTTTTCATTGTTTTCTAAATTTGCTATCAGTTTCAGCACCAAAATTTTCATCTTCGGTGCACAACTAATTCTGGCCAATGAAATTTATAAACACACAAGAGCTTGATGAGATTAAACACATTAGCAAGAAGACATTATCTTTATTACAAAAAATTGCCATACATATTTTACCACAAAGGACTAATTTACAAAATATAAATTAGTTCCAGTAGCAAAAAAATACAGCTTACCCTGCTTTCAGTCTACAATATCAAACCTGGGTCTGCGCACACTTTTCTCCTATTAGATAATATTAAAAATGCAAGAATATATAACAAACTCACAAAAAAAGGCAGGTAACATAAAATACAAGCATACAAGTGTACCACAGCTACATGCTGTGAGCTTGTTTTTTTTTTATTTAACAAAGGTTAGAACTCCATTAATACTGAAAAGTATATACGTTAAGCTGCATATGAACCATTAACATGTGGATGTCAATAAGGTTTATTGTATATACCACTTAAAAAAAAAGAAAAAGAAGACAGTGATAACTACCTATGTAGCTTAGAACATAGATACAAAATTGGCTTGCTGTATTTTGATTTAAATGGTATGTAAACCCTAACAATGAACTTAAAATTGTTTACATAGCAATTATACATGTTATATCAATTTTGAATCAAAATAAATATGTAAAAAATTGTTGCGAATGTCTTATTTCCAATACTGGTTATTTCTAGAGAATGAAGATTTTGTCACGGATACTTGCTCATGAAACAATACAGTTGCATTTATCAGAGTTGCTTAAAAACCTGGAAGCTGAGGTATTACCCCTAGCAGCCCACTGACAATGCATTTTCAACTGCTCTCCACCCAAAATAGAAATAATAATGTTCTACTATTAAAAATTACTACAGCTATTCAAATAAAACCTAAGGGAGAAGTACAGCTAAAGCTTGTTGGGCTGTACTTCTATGGCACGGGTGTCAAACTGGCAGCCCTCCAGCTATTGCCAAACTACAAGTCCTATGAGGCATTGCAAGATTGACAATTACAAGCATGTCTCCCAAAGGCAGAGGCATGATGGGACTTGTAGTTTCGCAACAGCTGGAGGGCCACCAGTTTGATACCCCTGTTCTATGGATTACAAGAGTGCAGTACGTTCTGCACTCCTGTGACCTGTTTTCAGCTGACAAAAGGCTAAAGTTAGAGGGTTACAGCAGAGAGTGGTGACTGGCAGTCACCAGCTCCCTGTTCACGGAGCACTGAGAACTGAGAGATCAGCGGTCTTTCATCGCTCAGTTCTCAGTCTCGGAGCAGGCGGGGGACAGATGTAGCATCGGAACGATGCTGCATCCACCTAGGCAAGTAAAATTTCTGAAAAAAAAAACAAAAAACTTCTCTTTAAATACAGTGTGCAATATACTCTTATTAATGGTGTATTGGACAGGGACGCAAAACAGCGATTACCAGTGGTAACATATATAACATAAGTACTACTGACCTACCAGTGGACGGGGTCAATTATATTTGGGAAGTAATTTTTCAATCAAGGGTGGAAGCATAAGGTGAATTGTCACATTATATCTGAAGTCTTTTTCCTTACATTTGCTGTTATATTTGCATTTGTTCACATAGTATAGTTCATTCATTTTATTCTTATGTGTTTTTAGGTTGTTTTACAGGGCTGTCCACACCAATAATTACAGAATATCGCACAATGTATGGGAAAAGATCTAGCATTTGCAAGAGATTAGAAGAATATAGTATGTCTAGTGTCAATGCAGAAATAAAGACCGAGCCTCTTTATTGTGCCAGGACTTAAAACAATATATATGCAAAAAAAAAAATTATTTATATATATATATATATATATATATATTTTTTTTTTTTTTTTTTAAATTTAAATTTTAATATATATCTTGCTTATTTATTAGTATGTATACTATATATCATTATATGTATTCTATCTATTATTAGATATCATAATGCATAGGCCAATGAACATTACGTTGTATATACAGATATACCATTATTCTTACCTGGGCTGCCATTACGCGTTGTCTCTCAGCAATAAGACTGCACTTTTTACACTGACATTCCCGCCACATACAGAAACGTTTGTGCCCCTTTAAAAGTGAAGAATAGCCGTGGTTCCTACAGCGGGAACATTTCGGCATGCGTGGAGATTTCTTCCATTGAGCCCCCGAGGATTGGACCCCTGATTTGCTAGGCTTGCTTAATGGCTCTTCGCTGTTAGGCATCTTTTTTCTTCCGAGAACACTGTAAAAAAAATTAGGATTACAGCCATGCAAAAACGTGTCAAGCTAAAAGTGATTATTTCTCTAACTGGCAACATGAAGAGGTGAAGAGGTGGGAGTTGGTAGGAGTTGGTAGGAGGGACAGGGGACATCACATCTGCAACAATCCTACGCAACCAGACGTTTTTTGGATTAATATATGTTCATTGCTGCTTTGTGAAGTACAAAATAAAATTCTCAACACTAAAGGTAATCTGTCACATGCACCTGGTTCAGTTGTCTCCACTTGTTGAAGTAGACTTTCAAGACACACACTAGTCCCAAGGCACTGTACATTTCTTCAAATCTACTCATTCACATCCCAACCGCCTTACGATTATCAAACAACACTGTTTAACTAAGAAAAATTTTGGAACTGTGCATATTTAAAGTGGCCAGTCAATATTGGGTTGATTCAGTAATCTGAATAACATAACTCTGCAGTCTTACCAATGAGAGCTTTATGTATGACTGCTTATATAGCTTTGTCTGAGCCTAACACTTCAACCTGAGTGTGAGGGGTCCTAGGTCACCTGAAGTCAGGGAAACAGGATGTGATTCGGACAAGAATCGCACGGCATTTCTGTGCAACTTGCATGCGATTCTTTGCAGTGAGTTTTGAGCACTGCGAGAGAAACCGAATTCCTAGCACCAGAAAACCAGTACAGGCTTATGCTCATATTTGTATGCATTGCTCACGCGCGCATACTTATGAGCGAAGAAGCAAAATATGTGCTGTTCAGTTCATCGTGCACACGTTTGTGTGTGCATATGCACATGCAAACGGGCTCACGTGCATTCCAAATAGCATGCACACTTGGTGCCCAATGGGCCTATTTAAACTGGTCTGTCATTATGAGCAGTTGCTGAATGGTCTCCTGGACTTGCTCTGCCTGCCGATTCAGTTCCTCGTTGCCTGATCATTGCTTTCTCCTGGTCCTGCTTCATCTTCTGCTCTGGTGCCAAGTTGCTCCTGCATCCCATTCCTAGAACTGCGACTACCAGCTCTACCCACCTACAGTGGACACCACCAGCCAGCTACTCTGGCACTAGTGCCACTCTTTGCCCTCACACTCTGTCTCCACCTTCAGGAGTGTTGGGCAGGAGGTGTAAGAGAGGCTCCATAACATTCCAGTCTTCACCAGGTACGTAATCATACCATTCAGCCATGATGGAGACTGGAGGAGGTACCTCTCTGCTTGAGGCTCTATGCCGGCAAATCTCAACCCTAATTCAAGTGGTGCTGGGAATCCAGGAGGGTTATTTCCAGCTTGAAGGTCATATGTGCTCCCTATTCACCACATCTCCAGCTTCAGCTTCTGCACATACAGTAGTGATTCCTCCCACGGAGCCTCGAGTGCCTACACTTCTCATGAAATCACACCACAAATTTCAGGCCTTCTCCAATGCTTGCCAGCTGTATTTTGAGTTACAACCACAAACTTTTTCTCATGAGTTCACTAAAGTAGGCTTTGTCATTTCTCTATTGCGTGAGGAACCACAGTGATGGGCCCATAATCTTCTGGAACAGGCCTTACGTCAATCTCTTCCTTCTTTGAGGCCATGGCTCAGATTTATGCTGGCCCCCAACAAACCTCTACAGCAGAAACTATCCTGCATACATTCTGGCAAAGACTTCAGCCCGTGCAGGATTATGTGATTAAGTTCTGACACGGCATGAAATGATGCAGCCTTGTGATACCAGTTCCGTTTGGGACTTTCAGATGCTCTCAAAGACGTACTTGCCAGACTGGATCCACCAGCAACACTCCCAGACCTGATCCAGCTTGTTATTCAGCTTGATCGCAGAATCCTAAGAGAGGTCTGGCAATACTCAACCTACCTGGACACCAACAGCTCCTGTGCACCTGGCTCCAGCTCCACATCAACATCCTCCTCCGTGGTGGATTCTATTCAAGTGGGACTTACCCATTCACCTCTGTCATCTAAGGAAAGACTCTGACGTCGGCAAATCAACTTATGCCTCTACTGTGGTGGCGTTGGTCACTATCTGTGTGACTGTCCAGTAAGGCTGCGGAAGTCTGCCCCTGCATCTGACGTTTCCAGTTATCCTGCAAAAAACATCTCCACTCATCTCCTGTTGGCTCTCTCCTTACAGCTACCTGAGAGGAGAATCCAAGCCCAAGCAATTGTTCCACTGCAAGCTAAGATGCAGTATCTAAAGATTTATCTGGCAGATGGCTCAAACCCCAAGTCAGGTCCAATCACACAAGAAACTTGTCCACTACTGGCAGTGACTTCCATGGGTCATTCAGAATACCTAAACCTGGACATTATTCCATAACCTTTGTTTCCCATCATCCTGGGTATTCCATGGTTGCAGACACAGAATCCTCAAATAAACTGGGAATCTGGAACTGTGTCATTTCCTACCACCTACAGCCAGCAACACTATTTTCCCCAAGCGGTCGGTCACCACTTCGGCCCCCTTAATGAAACTGCAGTCAGAGACCTCAGTTTCACAACATGTTCCATCTGCTTATCATAACATTTTAGATGTCTTTGATAGGAGACCTTACTATCTGATTGAACATACGATTGCCCAATTGAACTGTTACCTGGGGCTGAGATTCCGCTTGGGCAAACAATCCCCTTATGAGAACTAGAGCTTGAGGCATTGCGCCTATACATCGATGAAAATCTGAAAACGGGGTTAATTCGTTCATTCACATCCCCCGCTGGGGCTGGCATATTTTTGGTTGAAAAGAAGGATCACACCCTGAGACCTTGTGTGGAGTAAAGCACGCTAAATAAAATAACAGTCAAGAACAGATACCCCCTTTTCACTTGTTCCAGACCTTTTCCAGAGCTTCAGAGCAGCACAAGTATTCACAAACCTTGATTTACAGGGTGTATATAACTTGGTAAGAATCTGGGAAGGGATGATTGGAAAACAGCTTTCCATACTCTCTTTGGGCATTTTGAGTATTTAGTCATGCTGTTTGGACTATGCAATGCCCCAGCTACTTCCAGCATTTTGTCAATGATGTCTTTATAGACTTTCTCAACCTCTTCATGATTGTGTATCTTGAAGACATACTCATATTCTCCCCTTCCATGAAAGAACACCATGTGCAAGTTAAAAAAAGTACTCAGCAGTCTCTGGGATCACCAGTTATATGCAAAGGCTGAGAAATGTGAGTCTGAGAAAGAAAAACTATCCAGTAATTAATTATCTCAACATTAGGCAACACAATGGACATGCAAAAGTTAGTGAAAGTGGCCAGTACCAACAGATTGAAAGGAATCCAGAGGTTTGTTGGATTTGTCAATTTTTATCATAAATTCATTAAGAACTTCTCAGACATCATCAGCCCCATTACTCAGCTTACTAAACAAAACACCCGATTTGAGTGGACTCCGGCAGTGCAACTTGCTTTCGATAAAAGCTCTATTTACATCAGCACCAATTCTGCAACATCCTGACCCTGTATTACATTATGGCCTTTAAGTTGATGCTGTAGTTGGTGCCATTCTATCTCAATGCCAAGGTGCTAAGTCCCTTCTACATCCTTTGGCCTTCTTCTCAAGAAAACTCAGTTCTTCAGAGAAAAATTATCATGTGGGAGACTGTGAGCTATTTGCTATCAAGTCCGCTCTGAAGGAATGGTATTATCTGCTTGAGGGGGCAAATCACCCAATCTTGATTTTCACAGACCACAAAAACGTAGAATATCTCCGTACAGCTAAGTGTTTGAAACCCCGTCAGGCCAGGTGGGCCTTGTTCTCCTCGAGATTCCGGTTTCATATAAGCTACAGACTGGGTTGTAAGAATGGAAAACCTGACGCTGTCACGCATGTTTGGAAGAAAAGGAAACTACACAACCCAATACCATCCTACCTCCACAAAGTTTTCTGTTGCTGCAAGATGATTTGGTGTCACAGCTCAAACAAGCATTAAGAGCAGAAGGTCCACCAAGTGACTCGCAACTGCAAGAATGGGATGGGTTGTTCTTCCATAGGAAAAAAGATTTTGTACCTTCAAGCTTGTGCCAGTCAATCTTAAACCTGTGCCAAACCTGGCAGAACATTTTGGGATTCTCAAGACTTTGGAGCTTTTACAACGGTTCTTTTAGTGGCCTAGCTTGAGGTCTGATTGTCAGGGTTATGTAAGGGCTTGTGAGGTCTGCATCCGAAGCAAAGGGGATAAGACTAAAGCTTGGGGCCTGTTAAAGACCTTTGCCCATTTCTGGTAAGCCCTGGGAGATGATTAACATGGACTTTATCGTAGACCTACCACCATATGAAAACGTTACCACTATTTTTTTGATAATTGATAGGCTATCCAAGATGGCGCATTTTGTACCAATGCTTGGGACACCGTGTGCTTTAGAGAAGGCACAAGCATTTGTGAAAGAAATAGTAAAGATGCACGGGTTTCCTCGAAGTATAACCTCTGACCGAGGGGTTCAGTTTATGTCCAAATTCTGGAAAGAACTCTGTAAAGCACTTAAAATTGAGACATGGTTATCTTCGGCATATTACCCCCAAAAGGATTGGTCAGACAGAACTAACAAACCAAACTCTAGAGCAATATCTTCTTGTTTTTCTTCTTTCCCGCAGGATGACTGGGCTCTCACTCCTTCCTCTAGCAGAATTTGGCTACAAGTCAAACTCCATTTTTTGCGAACTTCGGATTTAACACCTCCTTCTTACCCGATACAGTCTTTGATTTACCTGTTCCGGCTGAACAGGAACGTCTGAAATTTCTGCAAACCAACAATAAAGTTCTGCAGAAAGCTATTGCCAAGGCCCAATAGGACAATAAATTATTCGATAAAAAGAGAAGGGGTGACCTTGACCTCAAACCAGGGGGCAGGGTTTGGCTATCAATCACTAACTTGAAATTGGCTTGCCCT